TTATGACGTATGTTAATGAGTGACGTCATTACGCATCCTCAATTGTACGAGTATTAATTATAAATGAGGTGGTGGACACCCACCACCTCAAACTCCACCACCTCAAACTCCACCACCTCACACCACCTCATCCACCACCTCAAAAATCCGGATCGATCGATACCTATATTACTACTAACCTATGCCGAAAATAGAATTCGGCAAGAGGTGCTTCAGTTATAATGGTGCCTTGCATTGGAATAATCTTCCCCATGAGGCAAAAATTGCTGAATCCCTAAGCTCTTTCAAGTCGATATTGAAACAAAGAATGAGTTGAAATTTGCTTGTGTGTAATCGTGCAGCTAAAATCAATTGTATTTATTTATTTTGTTATATTTTGTATTTTCTGTATATAGTTAACTTTTTGTAAATAGGTAATTTCACGCCCCTCATGGAAACCAGCCTTCCAACGGCTGTTGAGGCTAGCGTGGTTTAAATAAAGTTTTGTATGTATGTATGTATGTATGTATCTGGAACTGCCACTCTTAGGTATGACAACTGCAGAAATTCGTTTCCTTCTACGTCACCAAAGGACGAAATGGCAACCTTTTGAGTTGCATGCAACACTGCCCAAAGCTTAGGGATCCTAAAAATAACTGTGAACACTGCATTGAATACCGCATTAAATACGCACGCTGAACAAAATTATCCAGTCTTGTTAGATGGCATCGGCAAGATCAAAGACAAGAAAGTCAAGCTGCATATCGATCCTGAGATCCAACCTAAGCAACAGTCCCACCGACGCTTTCCGTTTCATTTTAGAAAAGATGTTGAACGCTAAACTTCAACGCTTAGAAGATCTCGATGTTATCGAAAGAGTCGAGGGGCCCACCCCCTGTGTCAGTCCCATCGTCGTAGTCCAAAAGAAAACAGGAGAAATTCGCCTCTGTGTTGACATGCGAGAGGCAAACAAAGCTGTGAAAGGGGAAAAGCACCTTATGCCAACACTTGATGAATTCATCACTGATCTAAATGGCGCAACTGTATTCAGCACCCTAGACCTGACATCCGGATACCATCAACTCGAGCTCAAACCCGAGAGCAGGCACATTACAACATTCTCCACCCATGTCGGTCTTCGACGATATAAAGGACCCGTGTTCGGAATAAATGCCGCATCAGAAATATTCCAAAATTCAATTGCTGAGCTTTTAACTGGCCTACCGGGATGCAAGAACATTTCCGATGACATCATTGTTTACGGTCGTGACGTCAGAGAAAACAATGAAAACCTGAACCGCGTTTTAACCCGTCTGCGAGAACACAATGCCCGGCTTAACCGAGACAAATGTGCATTCCGTAAGTCAGAAGTTATCTTCTATGGACACTCCTTCAGCGCCGAAGGAATCAAAGCAGCCCCTCAGAAGATCAATGCTATTAAGACCATGCAACCTCCAGAAAATCCAAGCGAAGTGAAGTCCTTCCTTGGTATGGCACGTTACGTTTCACGTTTCATCCCAAATTATGCCATCATTACTGCCCTTTTACGTGCCTTAACCCATCAGAATTCCGTGTGGAAATGGAAGATAGAAGAAGAAACCGCTTTTCGAAAGCTACAGAATGAGCTAACTAGTAACCGAGTCATGGCCTATTTTGACCCAACGAAGTCCACCAAAGTACTCGTCGACGCAAGCCCGACGGGTCTAGGAGATATTCTAATGCAAGATGGTAAAGTCATCAGCTACGCAAGCCGTGCGCTGACTGATGTCGAAAGTCGCTACTCCCAAACAGAACAAGAAATGCTCGCAGTCTTGCGGACAACTGAACATTATCATCTTTATCTATATGGTGCGAAGTTTGCAGTGATCACAGATCATAAACCTCTTCTTGGAATCTTCAAGAGTCACAAACCAACCTCCCCCAGAATCGATCGATGGAAGCTGAGATTAATATCGTATAATTACGAGATTATTTACAGGCCAGGAAAAGATGATGCCAATCCTGCCGACTTCATCAGCCGTCATCCAGACAAAGTTACCCCATTTCCAGATAACATCGCCGAAAATTACGTCAACTACCTTTGCAACAACATAATCCCGAAAGCTATGACCTTATCAGAAGTCGAAAAAGAAACGAAGAACGATTCCACACTCCAAAAACTATCACAAGCAGTCGAAACCAATCATTGATCTGACCCCGAAATCCAGATGTACACAAATGTTAAGGATGAACTTTCCGTTTGCGATGGGTTAATCATTCGATGAACACGTCTGGTCCTTCCAAAATCACTTCAACATCAAGCTAATGAATTGGCACACACAGGCCATCAGGGAATAGTAAAGACCAAGCGGTTATTACGTGAAAAGGTTTGGTTTCCGTCGATTGACAGGATGGTTCAAGAGAGAATCAAAAACTGCATCCCATGTCAAGCAGCGACACAAGGTACCATGCCAAAACCAGAGCCATTGAATATGACCCCACTACCCAAAGCGCCGTGGTGTGAAATCGCCATTGACTTCGTTGGTCCATTCCCCTCGGGCGAAGTTTTACTTGTGGTTATTGACGAATTCAGCAGATTTCCAGAAGTCGAAATCCTCCATACCACAACTGCCAACGCCGTTATCCTCAAACTCGATTGTATTTTCTCTAGACAAGGAATACCCAAAGTCGTCAAATCGGACAATGGGCTCCCCTTCAATAGCAACGAATTTGCAAACTTTGCAAGTTTCCTTGGATTTGAGCATCGAAAAGTTACGCCTTATTGGCCCCAAATAAACGGCAAGGTCGAACGCTTTATGCGAACACTCGAAAAAGCAATCCGTACAACCCATTTAGAAAAGAAGAATTGGAAACAAGAAATGAACGCATTTCTACGCCAGTACCGTGCAACTCCACACAGCACTACTGATGTGTCACCCTCTCAAGCTCTGAACGGTCGCAAAATACAAACGCTTCTTCCCCAGCTCACTGAAGTCAACCAATCCGACATCTACAATCCGATCCATGAGAAAGATAGTGAAAAGAAGAGAAAGATGAAGGAACACGCCGACCAACGACGGCGGTCTGAAACTAGTGGAATAAAAGTAGGCGTCGTAGTCCTAATCCGACAACCGAAAACAAACAAGTTGTCCACCCCTTTTAATCCATATCCTTACAAGGTCGTAGCAAGAAAAGGAAGTAAGGTCACCGCTGAACATTGTCCCCACAAAGTTACACGCAATGTTTCGTTTTTCAAAAGGATTCAAACGACTCCAGTCACAGAAAATGAAACGGACGACGAAGCCGACGACCCAATCCCAAGTGCCCAACATCACCAGGAACAAATTGCTGTACTCCCACCACTGAGAAGATCCCAGCGGCAAAGACAACCCCCCAACAGATTAACTTACTAAATAAACGGACACGTTATTTAACAGACTGACTTATAAATAAGCGGACACATTATTTAATCTGAACTTTGCAATAACGTTCATATTTTGAAATTTGAAGTTTAGTTTAGAACAATCGGACTCGTATAAAGTAAAAAAAGTTATAGTTCATAGACAGATAAATATTTAGAAAATTAGAAGAAAGACTCTATTTTAATGTGGGGAGAGATGTAGAATTCACCCCCTAATTAATATACAACTAACTAACGTAATAGGTTAATTAGTTATGCACTAGGTTATAATGATGTTTACTTGTACTTCGTAATTGATTATTAATTCTTAAACCACCGAAGCAGACTGTTGGTTTTATATGTTGTTCCTTCAAATATTCTGTATCCTGGCGCAATACACTACACATGCAACCTCAGTTGGGGGAACAGGGACACTCACTCAAATGACTAAAACGCTCACAAAGTGCACAATGCGAAAAGGGACATTGCACGTCCCTCCTGCTTCAGAAACCTGTAATCCATCTGTGTGAAAAGTTGCACTCCTTTCATGAATAATTACACACCAGCAAATCGTAAAATTTCCACGGTTCGAAAATATCCGCTCCATGCAACCACAGTTAATAGACTGAGATGGTTAGGAGAGTGGGCGGGGTTTACTAATTATGTTCGGTTTCCAGTGATTTCCGTCACGTGATCGGGAGAGTACACATGGCGACAAAACACAATAGAGTATTGTATTACGGCGACTAGTTTCTTTTCGAAAAGTCTTAACAAAATCTTTCTGAATTTGGGAATTTTACATTTTTTACCTCTGGCATGCAATGCCAGGTGCCAACTGCGCTTTGTATGGCTGTGGAACAAGTCGAAGGAGTAATCTTTCGCTGTTCAAAATACCTTTTCCTGCTCGAGGCGACGGAGACAAAACCGCAAAGTTGAAGTCTGATGCTCGGAAAGAATGGCTAAGAGTAATTCTAAGGACACGAGAAAACACGCCAGAGTTGAAAAAAAGAATAAATGAAAATAATATATTCTTATGTGAGCTGCATTTCAAACCCGAGTTGATTTATCAACGTAAGTATCTCTTTATTTTCTTTGTTTTTGCGCAAATATATGGTAATTAGACACTTGTCTACATACATACATAAACATTCACTTCCATGGGTTATCAAGAAGTGCAACGACCTTGAAATAAGGATGGAACTTTGGGACAATAACTATTCGCTACCGAAGTTTGTTTTACATGTCGATCAATGTTTGCAATTTTCGTTGCATATTTTTAACTGGCTACTGCCCGACGACCACAGTAGGGAGTTTACGATGTACGACGTGGTCAGCTCGACGACGTCGAGTCAAATTATGTTTGAAATAATCCACAGGAATTTAATTATACTGCTTTAATTGTCTAAAGCATGTTTTAATAATCTTACAAATGTTTAAATTTGACTAAACTACTCCGATCTTTAGCTAATGTTGTCATTCTGTCAACGTTATAAAACAGCTCCCATGTCGCAACGAGCTTTCATATCGCTAGGAAGCCGTGAAAATTACTCGTTTGACGGTGTCGCAGAATGGCAACACTGTTGACAAAACATTTGAATTTACAAATTATCCATCCCTTTTGTCTCGCATGACGTGTTTCTTTGTCTTGCAAGCGCGTTGTCGAGCTGGCCGCGTCGTGAATCGTAAACTCTCTAGTATCTACACTGCTCATCGACGTCGAATCACCTCTGCTGGAGTTGTTGAACTCTTTCAATCTCTTCAAGACGATGACTTCTTGATATGCGAAGGACTACACCAACACGCTGAATACCTCACCACCATTGCAAAAGATCCTGATGACCAAACCCATCCACTCCACCCATCTGATGTTGTACGGCATTCTATCCCAAAGAGTGTAGAAATGGATACAAATTTTCGAGTTTTAGCTGTTTTTCGCTGTGTTACTTGTCAGGTTTTAGTTCGCAGACAAGATCAAGGTGACGTTATCTGTGAACCATGCAAACAACTACAAAGGAAAATTGTAGCACAGCAAAATCGCAGTACACGCCAATCGAGTGCCCCTGCTAAGGATAAAGCTCCCCTTACTCGTTGCAGTGCGGACAAGCTGAGAGCAACAGTAGTGGAAAGTCGGGTAAAGTGTTCTTTGCTCGAAGCGAAAGTGAAAAGCCTCCAAGTTCAAATCGAAAAGGATTCAATCACAGTTAGTGAGACCCTTGAAAAGGATGTGTTGACAATCATGGGTGGACATAACTTAGAAAGCACACCACACATGAAGTTCTTTTGGGAACAACAAGTCCGCCTGCGGCAAGCCAATCAATTTGGACGGAGGTTTCATCCTCAAGTAATTAGATTTGCATTGTCCGTTCATTGCAAGTCTGCTTCTGCCTATAGAGAGCTGAGAGACAGTGGTGCCCTCATATTGCCCAGTGAACGAGTTCTTCGGGACTACAGAAATTATTTCAAACCTGGAGCTGGCATTACCAAAGAAAACGTTGAGGAGCTCAAAGAAAAAGCATCGAAGTTTTCTGGGATTCATAAGTATGTGGCAGTGATCATGGATGAAATGAAGATCCAGGAGAACCTTGTGTTTGACAAGACGTCTGGTGAGCTGATTGGCTTCATAGATCTTAGTGATCCTTTAACCACCTTTGCCAATACTGACGAAGAAACCCCAATTGCATCCCATGCACTGACATTGTTGGTTAGGGGGCTTTGCACCAATTTGAAGCATGTAGTTGCCTACTACTTTACTGGCAATGTTACATCATTTCAACTACTTCCTTTGTTTTGGAAAGTGGTTGGAGTGCTTGAAACCACAGTAAAGTTGTGGGTAATTGCTGCTGTCAATGATGGTGCTTCCCCTAACCGGAAATTCTTTGCACTCCATGCCAAGCTTGGTGGCACACTACCCTGTGGTCTAGTGTACGAGACACCCAATCTTTTCGTTCTGACTCGGATGATATACTTCTTTGCTGATGTACCTCATCTTATCAAAACCACTCGAAATTGTCTCTACAATTCAGGATATGGATCACATAGTCGGTATGTAAAGTTTAATATATTTGAAATTGTTGTTCATTATTTGCATGAAACTGGTCTGCTTTTAACTGTTTATTTTATGATTGAGTTAGTTTTCTTTGGTGTACCACAGGATGTGTACTATATATATTACCACATACAGTGGCTGTCCTTGAATACTTATTACAGTAGTCAAGAAATAAAGGGAAAAACCTTGTTAGGAAACCTCCTCAATCATGAAATACAGTTATAAATTTAGCCTATGTAATTGAATGTTGGGCTGTATGCTATATAGAGAACACAAAGATTCCGAGGGTTGTTTAGCATTCAGCCCTTGTTCTCTGGCCTTAT